CAATTGAAACTGCAAAGGCCAGAGGCACTGATGGTCAACAGGCAAGGCAGGCAACTGCTTCGGGCCCTGCAGGCCAGTAGGGGGCCCTCAAGGGCTGATAAAGTTTAAACCACATCAGTGGCTCAAAATGTGCAAAGTTTGCAATGGAAACCTCCCTGATGGGGCGCCATCTGACAGCTTTAGTGAATATAAATTATAGTAAATAACTGAATGGTGCTTTTCTAGCCCTAAATATGGAGGGGAGAGACTTGTATAACATAACTTCTGCTAAAAAAATTGTTGGTGTCAAGTTATTTATAAAATAATGGGGATGAATGCTGTTTTGAGACCCCCCCTGTGAATCTCTGCCTTGGGCCCCAACAGACTCCAGAATCGCCACTGGCAAAGCCACCCCTACTATCATCTTACAATGTTAGGGAAAATAGGGATCACCAGCTGGGCCATGCTATCCATGCTAGCATTAGCATTTAGCTCAAAGCTTCCTTTGTGCAGCCTCAGAGGCAGTAGCATGGCTGTAGACTGTTGGTTTCTTTGTAGGAAATAGCCCACACTGCAGTTCACAGTGTCTGGAGCTAAACATTTGGAAAAAGATCTGCAATATTAAAACACCCTATATTAAGAAGTACATAAGCAATCACTTAAGGAACTGGCAGGAAAGGGATTTATGATTCATATTCCAGATATGGAGAAATACAACATTGTGTTGAGCCTAATGAGTTGTGTTTTTACTGACTCATAAAAACCCTGATCTTTTCCATTTGCATGTTTTTACATTTCCAATATGGTGTTTTTAAAAATGTTTCTGCATATTTGACTTACTCTTCTGTCACTCTCTTTTTTTGTCTTTAGGAATGTTTGCAGAAGTTTCATTATTAGCTCAGTCACAGGTAGACCTAAGAGCTCAGCATGAGACTGAAAGCATGTCTCTGCCACATGTTTTGCTTTTGATTTGTGCATTTGTGTCTTGCCGTCTGGAATATTGTGTTTGTTTATGTTGGGATTTGGGATCTGAATGTTTACATAGTTCCAGTGTCTCCTCAACACTGACAAGCAAAACAACTGTCCCATTTAGTTAAGCAGCGTGTATGAAAAGAAAGAACGTGAACACAGCACCTCGACTCGGCAGTGTCGTCAGACATAGTCTCTCACAGAACAAACAAAAGCAACATTATTATCACTTAACAGACAGGGTTTGAAGCTTTAATTTTCGAGTACCCAAAGACTCCTTTTTGCTCTAGTGTTTTTTTCTGCAGTTACACCCCAGTTAACACCTTTCTGAAAGTACTGTAACACCTACGAAGCTCCTGCAACTATTGACGCAGAGCTGTTCACTCACAGTACCTGCGGTTTTTATTTTATTGTTGCTAAAAATGATGTTCTTGCAGCAGAAGGGAATGAGAGAAAAACCCTGCCTGCATGAAGGTAATTCGTATGTATTATTCATCTCTGCCTCTTCCATTTATACTTACAGTTGGCTGGAGTTGTATACGATGAAAAAAGCCAGTGTACACAGTGGAAGAGGCCATTTGCTGCAGTCTTGAGCTGTTATTTCATGTTGTGCATTTTTATTCCCATGTAGCTTTTATATTGATAATACTAAAAATAATGCTTCGTAAGTTTTATGAACATTCAAGGGGATTCTTAAGATTTCACAAGACAGATTCTGTGTTTTATTCCTTTTTATCAAAACAAGGACTTGGCAACAGTTATATAAAGTGATTTTAAAGGTAAAGTAAATATTTGTTTCTGTAAAAGAGAACCAAAACTAATGTGTTAGTGTTGAATGACTTTATATATTTCTTACCGAAATGGTTCCTGTCTTCTCTGCTTGCTCATATTTGGTGTAAATGAATTATTATTGTGTTTAGGAAACAGCGTTAGAACATGTCCTCTCGTCCTCGTACTTACAGAGAAAAAAGGTTAAAATGTTGCTCCTCGCGCTCGTCGCCCGTCATGGAGGAAGTCATTTATCTGTGGCACCATTGCGTTCAGATGTGGTCAAATGGCACGGTTTCCTGATGCAGAATAAAAAAAGGAACACTCGTTTTCCGAAAATGAAGTGTTTTGAGAGAAATGAGTGGTGGAGGGAGAGTCCCTTCATGAAAAAACAAGCAATGTAAATTCACAGAGAGAGAAAGCAGTGTGGGAGACAAGAGCCACTTTTATAAGTTTGACGTTTTCAAACAGCAGGGACCACCAAAAAAAACAAAAAAAACAAAGCAGACAGTCAGATATAATGTGCATTTATACAGTGCACTATAGTCAAATCAAACTTTAGTACTCATTAAAACTGCATCGCATCCAAACCTGTGCCCAGAGTACACTCAAACGTCGTACAGACGTTTCAAGCAGACAAAATTAAAGCTTTTATGTAAAGTTATGAAATCATGTCAAGGCCTAAAATGCTCCAAAGTATGTTTTGTATATTCTACCAATATAAGTCCTCATTTGTTGGAACATCTGGCTTAGTGAACAATATGATCAACAGAACGCCTGGGATTTTCAAGCCTTAAAGAGCAGCCTCTTAAGTAATAATGAGAGTGAGAAATGCAGTGCATTTAAGTGAAAATTCTGATTAATTATGTATGATTAGAGGACTCTTAAAAGCTTTGGGGAAAGAGAAAAAAGAAAGAAACTACATAAACAGAACATGAAGTCCAGAATGGCTGGATGGATACCAGACGTGAAATTGTAAATGAACCTTAAGTATACAGGTGACTGCAGAATGATGAAGGATATTGCTTCTGCATGGCTGGGCCCTATGCTGACCGTTTGTGCACAGGTCATGTCACACTTTGTTTGCAATTTTTTTCTATCAATTTTCCTGCTTTTGTCCTTTATGCTTAAAAAACATGAGTGATTATAATGCATACATACTAGAAATGTTTGTTTGACTTCTGTTGATAAGTAACCAATATAAGTGGTGTATTGCAAACAGTGGCGCAGATAACACTGTTTACCAGGTATTTTCTTGGAAGCTAGATGTATGTTTTATGAAAGAATGAGTCACTGAGCCAAGGTCTTTCGGAAATATCAATCCAGATGGAAATAGATTTAGACGTGCAGGTCATAAACTCCAGATAACTTCAGCGGACCTGACTTATTCCTCTTCCCGTCCTCTTTTATTCTCTTCCTTTCTTTCCCCTCTTTCTGCCTCCCTGTCAGTGGCATCATGTATGTTTTCACCTCCAAAGTGATTGTACCTGATTTATATGACAGGCCTTTAACCCTGCGTGTGCCTGTCCATCAGCATCAGGCAGAAAATACCCAAGGGCATGTGTGAGCAGGACCAAATCTGGCTCTCTGTCATTCAATGGCTGCAACCTCCAACGGGAATGCACTCCAACAAATCACGTTTATTCCTGCTCTGTTCTGATGTGAGTCAGAAACACAAGGTGAGAAGTGCTGCGGGTTGTGTACATCCAAAAATATGCTTCCACCTCATAGCAACAGACTTATTGGATTGTTTTTCTCTGACAAAGTACAGACATATATGGAGATGTAAATCCTGCCATAGCATTTGTGTCCAACTCTCAGCCTTGTTTGGTAATTAATTTGAGTACATGAGCTCAAAGAGTACACTTGGCAGCTAAAAACATGAATTCTAATGTACTGTAAAAGTCTGCGAGGAAGTGATCTGAAGTGAACGTTGTCTCCACCCGCAGTCTGTTTATGGAAATACAAGTGGCTGTATTAATGTTGTAATGGCCCCATTTAGTGGTCATAAGCAGTATTACAGTTTAGAATGAGCAGAGAAAAATGCAGTTTTCCTTATTTACAGCTGAGATTATGAACGTCAGCAAATATTGACAAAAGTTTAAAGCCCATATCAACGAAGCTTGTGGTTTACTTTAAAGACAAATATAAATAGCTTTCAAATAATACTCAGGGCTTATGAGATTAATATTTTGAAATGAAAGCATTTAATAATAGGCTACAGAGAACATTTTACCATTATGAATAAATTATTTTTTTTATTGTTCATGTCTGGTCATTAACATGAACCATCCCACATTGAATTATTCAGACAAACTAGCTGAAAATAAATCACATTTTCGAGGATGTCCTTTAGCCAACATCACAACAGCACCATTAACATGAACCCGCCCAAAAATAATAACACTCCTAGAGGTAAAATGCAACCAATGCCAACTCTTTTTGTTTTACATCTCATAATATGAATGACTTTTGGATACACATCAAATTTATTTAATAAAATGAAAACATTGTTGGGGGCCCTGAGAAACTTCAATAGGCAGTTTTAGATTCAAGATTTTAAAACTGAAAGTTAGATTATTAATTAAAAAAACAGATTGATAAATGATAACTAGACCTGTTAGAGCCATATACTTTGATATGAGTGCCAGTAGAGTTACTATTACCTCTTACACGTGAACAAATGTTACTTTGGCTGTCAAATATTACCAAGGTTAGTATCAACATTAGTTAGTGTCAACAGTGACATTTATTTTCTGCTTTTTAATGTTGTATCTGTTGGAGCAGGAGATCATATTACCAACTCATAAGCTTAAGGGTAGTTTGATTTTAAAAAACAATAATAATTATAACAATGTAGGCTACGATCATGAGTATAAATGAAGTTTGTATAATATCATGGAAAAATGAAGTAAATCAAGTAGATCAAGAAAAATGGTAAGCTTCCCAAAGTGTCCAACTCACTGTATGTATTTTAGAATACTAAAATTGCTGCACTTATTAAAATAATAAATGTTTCATTTCACTTGTTAAATAAACATCATCATAAGGCTAAAAATTATTATTATTAAATTTATGAAATTTTGGCTTAAGGGCCTATTTTATATGGGTCAGCAGCCAGGTTCATGCTTTGATTTAAGATGTGTTTTTATTAAATGAATTTATCATGTCAGTTGTTCTTTATATCATATTTAGTCAGGTTGATTAGTGAACACCGCTTTTTCTTGCACCACGATATAAATTTACCCGGAAATAGATTTTGTGCAGAGATGTGATCACGTGACTCCTCTGTTTACAGGCATCCGGAGAAACATGGAGGACACCGCTGGCAGTAATCCCCAATCTCTCGGATTTACAGAAAAATTAAAGTCGTGGCTCTCTTGGTCATGGACCTACGTGTGCTTCATCTGGTTCGGCATGGTGCTGATCATGATATACGTCCTGTGGAGCCCGCTCAAACTGCAGGAAACTCTAACCTCAGGTGAATTAATGCGGCTGTTAGCTAGCTATTGTTAGCATTTGGGTTTAGCAGGCACCAAAGCGACGCTGCTGCAGGTTTGACAGTTTGTTATCTGACTGTTTCAGACACACGCAAAGGCGACTATCTGGTTAGACTGAAGTCGACTTTTAGAGTACATAGCCCAAGCTTCTTATCCTGCTTTTTTTTTTAAATAATTGCGTGCATTGCATGTAGAGTGAAATATGAGTTTATATTTGTATACAAGTATTCAGCCTCGGTCATCGTGTTGCAGAGATAAATGTATTTAGCTCGGACTTTATTTATGTTATTGCATTTCAGCCATGGTCTATTGCATGTTTTTTTTCTAAATGGCATTGTCACAACTGTGCAAAATAAATATGTGTATATATTTACAGTCCCGGTTGTTGTACACTGACTTGACTCTTCGTTTTTGCAGCCTCAGTGTTTTTGAATACACTGACACCCAAGTTCTATGTGGCTCTCACTGGAACCTCCTCCCTCATCTCTGGACTCATCCTTGTGAGTTATCACTTCAGCTTTTTTCTCTAACTGTAGATGGCATGTGGACTAGTTTGTCTTTGGAAGATCAAATTAGATGGAAGTCCAAGTTCTAATCCTGCAGCAGAAAGTCAAATGCATGGGCGGAAGTCCTTTTTTTAGAGGAGAATTATTATTAATTCAAGGCGGTAATTAGTAATAAGAAGTCGAATACATTCATCCCAGCTCTGTGTTTAATTGTGTGGTTCCATGAATGGTGGGCATTGCATTAGAACATATGGAGAAATGGTGCAGGAATTGTATTTATATGGGATGAATACAAATAAACAAGAATGCTCTGATGCTGGCAAAACTAATGAGATTCTGGAGAGGAAGAAATTAAAGATGTAAAGGTTGTTGACAGGCGAGAGAGAGAGAGAAAAAAAAGGTGATTCTGCACAGTGTCTTGCTTCAGAGGCCTGTGTGTAATGGCCATGCTTTCACAATGTTTTGATGTAGTAGGATAAAGACAAATCTATCAGCTACTCTCAGATTCGTTTGTGCCAATTTAGTGGAGAAAAAAAATGATTTGGGGATTTATTTTGAATGTATTTGCAGTTACATCGTTATCGCAATATTGAACATTTTTATCCCACAACCATAGGCGGAAATCACGGGTGGGGGGTCCTGACCCCCCCAACCCTAGAAAAATAGATAATTGCCCCCCCCCCAGTATTCATGTCATCATAAACATGTAATTTTGAGTGATATAATAATGTGCATTGAAAACAGTGGTGCTAAACAAAGACGCAAAATAAGTTGGTGATGATCGCCAACTTTCTCCTAACATACCCCGAGGAAAGTGAACTCTGTTCTTGAACCGTTTGGACTACAAGCACAAATAAGATGTCTTTAGAAAGCTAACACTCTGCAGATTCAGAACGTGTGTTCTTCTCAAAAACATTAAAACATGAAAACACGAGAACTGTTGTTGAAATAAGACCGGCCATCGCCACAGCCCACAGTCTGTTTGGAGTTAAACATGTTCCTTTATCTGCAGGGATTACAGTTCACCGTCGCTACAAAAGACTTCTGTCAGTTTCACAATCGTAAAGATATTTAGTCTCAGTGCCAATCAGACAGAAAAAAGTTGAGGACAAATGCTCCAAAATGCTCTAAAAAAGCTTCATTTGCATGTTACAATAGTAAAATTTTCCTTCTGGGTTAGAATCCCCCCCAGACCCCCCTCCCTGCATTTCTTTTGTATCTTGTATATATTTCACATCTCGTAAGTTTTGCTAAAACACACGACCAGCTGACAGTTGATGTAGGCTTCAATGCATTTGACTGAAGGTCACCTTTTCAGGCTTTCATGTTTTAAAAGAAGCCAGTTCTGTCGAGATGCGTTTTATTGATTGAAGCTCTATATTAAAATATTAATCGTTATGAGAACTATTGTAACTATTTTTATAGTTATTTTAAAGTTTTTAAGATGCCTGTCTGTTTAGCGTTTCCTCTTTATAAATTTAATACCAGTTTGTTCGGCATTTCTTGATAAAACAATATTTTTTTATGGCTGCTTTGGTGTCACCCTCAGGAATTGCTCTTTAAAAAAAATCCTGTTAGTTGTCCCCCCCAATAGTGAAGTGAGATATCCGCCCTTGCCCACAACGCATATTTTTTTTTGTGTCCTGCTGACCTCATGTAGGTCTAAAGTGACGTGAAAGTTGCATGCATTCTGAAATTAATTTTCAGACTGGGGTTGCGTTTCTTCTTTTGAAGAAAAAAAAAACAATATGTATCTTGGGGCAGCATACATGAGTGGACAAAATGTTGGATGAAAAAATCTGATTCATGTTTTTTCATTCTGTTCACACTTGTCATTTTTTCACAGTAAAAAATAACCTTTGAGTAATTGTTGTCTCATCATTTACATTTTATAAAGCTTGCTTTCCTTTCGTGTGTGACCCCCACAGATATTTGAGTGGTGGTATTTTCGTAAATATGGGACCTCGTTCATTGAACAAGTGTCGGTGAGTCACCTGCGTCCTCTCCTGGGCGGAGTGGAGAGCAGCTCCACCACTGGTCTGTTTGCATCAGTTAATGGAGAGGCTGAGCCAAGGCCCAGTGTTTCAGGTAAATGTGAAAAACACACTTTAATAGAAATGTACTAACCAAAATGCAGCTAGCTTTAATAATGATTTCTCCTTTTTGGTAGAGTGTAAAGTCTGGAGGAATCCTTTGAATCTGTTCAGAGGAGCAGAATACAACAGGTATGATTCTGATATTTAGCTGTGTAGCGCTTATATTGATGGTTCATTAAGATGCATAACTTATAAGGCATATAGTGTTGGTACTGCAAGAAAATTAACTAGATTAACAGTGTAAAATAAAAATGTAGCATACAAGTTAGTGTTTGCCTCTGATCACCGCAGGTACACCTGGGTAACAGGGAAGGAGCCCTTAACATACTATGATATGAACCTGTCTGCTCAAGACCATCAGACCTTCTTCACAGGAGACACTCCGCAGTTAAGGCCAGAAGATGCCGGTGAGTTGGAATCATAAAGAAATAAACGTACAGAAAACTAAAAATGTGTTATTTCTTAGGGCGCACTCACACTAGGCAATCTGTACCGTGCCTAAGCACGCTTCACCACTAAAGTCCAGTTTGTTTGACTTGTGTGAGCGCTCCGATCCGTGCTCAAGCATGGTACACTTCTTTGGTCCTGGCACACTTTGAAGAGGTGTGCTTCGGCACGGTGCAGTTCATGCATCCTGGAGTGTTATGTCTGTGTCTGACTAAAATGACTCAAAATAAGAAACAAAGTCAGTAAAGTAGCTGTCATGTTCTCTGCGTTGTTCTCCGATGTGCGGCTGCGGACTTGACTGCGCGTCCTTTTAAAAAATTGTTTTTTTTCCAAGTCCGCCTGTCTTGTGAACTAAGCATGATTCATATTTATGCTGGGTGAACTGTTTTTTATCTCAAGTTGTGGAGCCTCTGACTTGTAGTTAAATATGTCAGGGTAGTGAGGTCACATCTAGAATAAGCCTGACATGGTCATCTCATTACAGTGATGCAGAAAGCCTGGAGAGAGAGAAATCCTCAAGCCAGGATCAGAGCAGCTTACCAGGCCATCGAGATGAACCAAGAGTGAGTCCTACTATTACACTCTTACACATGATCTACTTAAATACTGCACCGATGAACATAAAACTGTATCATCTCAACAGCAACTATTACTGTTATTAACTTTAATTCATTACTCAGTTTCTGTGATTGTGCTTACCTTATTTCAAAGCATGAATACATAAATATAATCATTAAATGTCCTTGGGATTTGGTAACCTGAATTCTGTTTTAATTGCATTAATATTTTGATGTGTATGCAAACATAGCAGTTGTCTACTTGCATGTAAAAATGTATAAATCAATAGGTTAAGCTGTTGTAAAGCTGTCCCTTTGTGTCTAACATGTGTGCATATGTATGTGTGCAGATGTGCTGCAGCCTACGTGCTCCTAGCAGAAGAAGAAGCCACAACTATCACAGAAGCTGAACGCCTATTCAAAAAAGCACTAACTATCGGTAAAGCATTTTTTTTTAATACACTGAACTAATTATCCAATCGTAAACAATGAGGCACGGTAACATACCGATGATTAAGTATTTATGCCTTATAAGTACCCACACCCCCTCTTTAATCCTTCTTGTGGGCCACACTTGCAGCTGTGCTTCACAGGTAAGGGTGGTTTATAAATAGAACAGGCTACACCTGTAACCACCCAGCTGTGATGAACGACACTCACAAAAGCATAATATTACATCAAAGTCTTTCCTCTAAACAAGACCTCTCATTGCAGTGGACAGCTGCTCAAAAGGTTCAGGGCATTTTTTTTTAAGTTTTAGGGCTTTTTGCCTTCATTGGATAGGACATCTGAAGAGAGACAGGAAATGTTGAGAGAAGAGAGAGTGGGGGATGACATGCAGCAAAGGGCCGAGGTAGGACTCGAACCCACAGCTGCTGCAATGAGGACTATAGCCTCTGAACATGGGGCACGCAACATAACCACTAGGCTATCAACGCTCCCGGTCTAGGACTATTTATCACTGCATCTATGTTAACGTCTCATATTTTCCGCTCTCCATCCACAGCTGGGAAAGATATCAACTTACTGGTATACATTAAACGCCGACTGGCGATGTGTGCACGCAAGCTGGGGAGGATAAAAGAAGCAGTAAAAATGATGAGAGACGTAAGTTTAAATCGGAAACACTGCTCAGAGTGTAACTTTTGTGGAATTACTCTTCAAACAGACAAACTGGAGTTTACACTTGCTGTATTCAAACCAATAGTGATACAGCATGACTGACAAATTGATTCTTAATGTGTGAAATTGTATCTCTTTACAGTTAATGAAGGAGTTCCCATTATTAGGAATGTTAAATATACATGAAAACCTTCTGGAGGCACTTCTAGAGCTACAGGCTTATGCTGATGTCCAAGCAGTCCTCGCCAAATATGATGGTAAGACTGAACCCGATTAAAAAAAACTGTCCAGTGAAGTCTTCATACATGTTCAGATAGCAATAAGCTCAGTGACAGTGATACAGTTGTAAAAAGTATGATTTAAGTAAGGTGATACTCATTTCTTCTTCCTTTGTAGACATCAGCTTGCCAAAATCAGCCACGATATGCTACACATCAGCGCTGCTGAAAGCACGGGCTGTATCAGATAAGTAGGTGTCCCCATAAATTCATATGGTAGAATAATCTAAAGAATCTTACATGCCATTCAACAGATAACTGACTGAAACTGTTTTAATAGCTGGTCCAATGACAGCATATAATCACATGGTGTCCAGCGTGTCATACCAGGGTTTTTTTTTGTCTCAGGTTCTCTCCAGAGGCCGCGTCGAGGCGAGGGCTCAGCACAGCAGAAATGAATGCTGTGGAGGCCATACACAGAGCTGTTGAGTTCAATCCACATGTGCCAAAGGTAAGCACGCAGACTAATGGCCGTCACATAACCTGCATTCCTAATGGCATACATGTTTTTTATGATAGTGGTTTTATGCAGCAGCCTGTTCAAAGTACTGGGAGCTTTGAGTATGCATACAGTTAGGATATACAGCTTAACAATGTGCCATAAACATTAACCATACTGTTCATACACAGCTTTACTTTACTGATTCTGAAAAGCGTAGGAAAAATTCTTCCCTTGGAATACTAATAAAAAAAACATTCCTCAAGCTCGCCATTGATGTGGTGTATACTCTGCTGAGCAAAGCATTTTGGGTCATAATGCAACGAAAAGGATGCTGTACTGCATACTACAAAATGAATGCATGCAGGGATATGTCATGGTGTTTTTCTGTCATACTACACTTGAAAAAAAAACTTTGGGACAAAGAAATCTCCTGTTTTATTATGAAAGTGTGGTATGAGAATGCAGCCACAGACTTCAGTGGTTTCTGTAGTCTTTGAGAATGATTCCATAAGGATTAGATTTTATGCTCCAAAGTTGAGTGAGTGTATCTTCAACAGTATAAATGTACCTTTGACTGTCTAGACAGCATGCATACACTTTGACTCCAATATTCTTTATTTAATTTATGCATGGATTGATAAAACACGAGTGGTTTGGGTAGATTAAATCAGAAACCAGAATCTGATATATTACAGGATGCAGGTGGGTGATAGGGTCCGGTAATCACCAGAGGCCCCACAATACGATATTATCACGATTTGATATTATTGCGATTTTAAACATTTTGTGATATTCTGAGAATTTTGATACAATACATTGAAATTGTACTTTTTTAACTGCAAATCATGTCCACAAAAATTAAACTAAATCAAGAACTGTTTTGTCCAATAAGAAAACATCCTCAGTCTATTCATCTCACTTCAGTTTTTTTATTTTTACACAATGGGAGTGAAGCCCACAGACTGAACAACACTGTGATCAAAGTCAAACCCTGTAAAAGGTAGCATGCACCTCACAACTGTTGGTATTTTAGTCTAATCTAACTGAACTGAACACAAACATGTAAGGACAACTGCACAATCACAGTCATTTTTAACAATGCAACTTATTCAAAATGAATCTTGCAACCCGTTTAGAAATTAAAAAATAATACTCTGCAGCCATGAGAAGATTAAATATCATCACAAAAAATATTGTGATACTATGCTGTATTGATTTTTCGCCTAACCTCTAGTGGGTAGTGTGAAGAAATATAGGAAATATAAATATACTTAGGAAATGATCTGATCTAATCATGCAGGTCTGACATGACTGGCATAGGTAAAGGTATGACTCTGAACAAAGCAAGCAGGTAGAGCAGGTCAGGTACAACAATAAATCAGGTAATCCAAGATGACATGTCTTGGCTCACCAGCAGGTGTCAGTGTGGGTCTATGCACAGTCATTTCTCTTGACACATGTACTGTATGTATTGTCTGTTCTATACCCTACATTTTACTTTGTGTAAATGTAGAATTTTGGTAATTGTAGCTTTTTCCATTAAGTAATACAAAACAATTAAGTGTAAGACTATTTTATGCTTTATCAGCTACATTTTGAAATAATTGAACACTAAAAAAGAGAGTACATGATTTATTTCATCATACATATATCATATGTTTTGAGGTAGTTCAGTATCGTGTCATATGTTGGGCTCAAGGAAAGTGTGAACATACAACAAACTGGGCACTTTTAAAGAGCAGGTCTATGTAAAGCTGAACCAGGTATAAACACGGGGCTACACCTGGGGTATAGTACCATCAGTTCCCACAGGATTAGATGTCACACATGCACACACACAGTCTGACACAGCTAGTTGCAGCAGAGTTTTGTCTCAGTTTAGCCTTTGTAGTTTGCTGTTGTTTCATCTTGTGGATTCTGAGAGAGTAAAAGAGAATCTAATCTTTGTGCGTGCGTGTGTGTGTGTGTTTTGTGGAAGGGAGGCGACATCAGCCAGCACTTTGATCCAGCCTTTGATTTTAAAGTGAGCGCCCTCATCTTCAATGTCTGTCCAATTTCTCCCTCCTCACTTGGCCCAGAGGCAGCCATCCTCTTTCCCCTCTCATCACCTACCCTCATCCCGTTTGTTATCCTCTCATGTTCCCTCATCCACACTCACCCCCTGTTTGAGCCAAACAGGGAGCCTTATATTTGTCACCACTGCAAACTTTATCCAAATGACATTTGTACATAAGGGAGAAGAGTTGGAATAGATTTTGAAATTTGTAGCACACCTTACTCAGATGATGATTGGTAGTGTCATCTTTCAGTATTTAATTGTGATCTGTGGGGATTAAAGGTGGGGGGTTGTTTCTTTGTGTTCTCTGGCCCCTTTTTACAAACAGGCTGGCCTATCGTTTCTTTAGTAGGATCTGCAAATGGCTTTTCTCCATAAGTCCCTACACCCTACGTCAGTCCTCTTGTGTAAATTACACTTCAGTTTCCTGAATATAATAATAGACATGTGGGCATGTTTTGGCGGAGTCTCTTATTAACAAAGACATCAGCTAAGAAAACACAGACTTTGTGAGGCTTTTACTAATGAATACTTTCATCAGATATTTATGTATTCAGATCATTAAATAATAGAAACTGTCAAAAATAGTTCCAACTAACAATCATAAATGACTGAAGTTTAATGAAACAGTCAAAACATTCTCAAATACATAAACAAAGCTGATGCTCATTAGCCATCCATTTACTGTCAATATTATAAACATTGATGACAGTTAAACATAACTTAGTAATCAGTTCAAGAAAAAGTTGGACATTTTGGCCAAAACACTTCATAATGAGAGCTAGAAGAGACTGATTCCAAATGATGTCTTGTATGTTACAAACACAGCAGTCATTTAGCTTAGCAGGAAGACGAAAACATAGTCAAAGTTTACAAAAAGCATTTTCTGTTTTGTTTTTTTTTCTTTTTGCTTCTGGTGTTCAGAACAAATCATTTTTAGCTTTATAAATAACAAAACTCACAGACGCCCAATATCGTTATATACCTCCTCCACCTTTATACTTCCTAAAGTACAGTAAATACAAAGAAGAGTTTATATTTTTTACACAACCTTACATCTTGAGGTGCAGTTACACGAGGCCCAGTTGCCCCGTACAATGCTGATTGTATGCACGATTGCCCCCTCCTCCCAGCCTGCAGTTGCCTCCTGTACATAACGTTGTAATACAACACATGCATGGCTTTACATGATCAAGAAGCAATCTAAGTGTACAAGACAGGCGGACTAAGAAACACAAATAATTGAAAAGGGTCCGCACATTGGTGAATAACACAGAGAAAATTCATGTCCACGTTGTGTACCAGTGCTTGTGTTCATGTATGAGTAACTGTACAGTGTCAAAGCACACCTCTTCCAACCGTGCTAGGACCAAGGAAGTGTACCGTGAACTCACACTAGTCAAAGGAACTTGACTGTGAGGGTTTAGCATGCTTAGGCATGGTTCTGATTGCCTAGTGTGAGTGCACCCTGACAGGGATGTTCAAGACATGTATTCTACTTGTAGGTAATAAAAGAAAATTTGGTAAATTTCAATGGATACATTGGATCATGTATGTTTGTTATGCTATAGACATACCTTTCATACTTGGTTCATGTACCAGGGCTTGAATTGGCAACCCTCAGGCTCCCAACCTAAGTCCCTACAGACTGAGCTACTGCCACACCCCAAATACAAGTTGGCCTTGGTTGCCCAAAGGTTTGATATTGGTACATGTGTCAGAAAAGTAGCCAGTTTGGTCCCTGGTCCAGGAGGTTAGATTTGGGCAAGGAGAAGGTGTTTCTTCAGCAGAACAGAGAGCACAGCAGATTAGACTTTTGTTGTACTGGTGGTCCTGGTGTGTGTCCTGTGTGAGTGTGAAGATGGCATCATGTTAACAGAAAATGAAGTTTGAAAGAAAAAAAACTGCAACCCAATGTTTTTTTGCCAAATCGGCCACGTGGATTAATTAAGTTTTTTTATTTTATCAGGCATGCCAAGAAGATTATATATGAATGAATATCATGCTAGGCTACATCACATGAGCTTATTCAAACGGTTCCAAAAGCCATACACACAATTAACCCACATTTATCCACACAAGCTTCAGTCTGTTCCGCCTCCTTTCTAAGGACCCCTTTCCCATTCCCATAATTTCTCCCCTCATCTTTCATCTATATACCTCCTCCACCTTGTCCTCCCCCATTTATTCCCCTCTATTTTCCTCTCCTCTTCATCTTGTTGTCCTTATTCATTTATCCTCCGCCTCCTTCCCCCATTTCTCCATCTGTGTGTCCATTCTAATCAGTCTCTCTACCAACCAGCGGTTAAGATACCCTCAGTTTGTCTGATTCTTGTTGGCAGATAAAGTGTTCGTTTCATCTGAATCTGCTGTACATTTACATTTACCACTACTTTGGTTCATACAGGCTCATTGTGAAGCAGCCTGGGTGACCCGAACCCATCTACCTTGCTAGTTTACTCCACTTTGAAAGGCACTTTCTCATCTCACCCCATTCAGGTTGACATGTTTTCATCTAGATTGCCTGTCTAGGCCCAGAAAGGGCAACCTTTGCTTAGTTTACCTTTGAAATTGGCTTTTTGGTTTGTAAATTGAGTCGGAGTAATAGTCTGGGGTTTGTCTTGAATTAAGATGGATGAGGTTTGATTTGGACAAAGAGGAGGGTGTATTGGGTTGGAATAAATGCTTTGAGTTTTCTGAGTCTGTCCATTCCTTGAGCAAAGGTTGGAGGAGCTAGTATTGGTGTTTACTGACTGAATGGCTTTCTAAATCATTGTATGTCTAACCCAACACCTGTTAGTCTGCATGTTCTCTCACTGTATTCAAGTGTGTTTGTCTGACCTTACAGAGCAGCTACAAGGCTGATGTCATTGTTGCCTGTGTGTCCCATTGTGCATGGCAAAGTGCTTCAGATTAGAATCAGAAGGCAGCTTATGAGTTATGCTCTGGGCTT